AGGAAACTAGACCTGTTTTCACTTTTTAAGGAGCTAGAGTGAATTCTCACATATTTCCATTTTCCCTGTGGTAAGTATATACAAATATATGTATCTGTATATGTAAATTACAGGAGAGGGAATAACTGGGTTTGAATCTTGGAACCTTCACTTATTAGCTCTAAACTCTTGGGTACCCCTCAAGCACATTAACCTCTTTCTGTTTCAGTTTCTTAGTGAAATGAGGATGATAATCATACTTTCACCATACTTACATTATAGTAATATTCTGTGGACTGGTTAAAATTCTTGGAATACTGCCTAGCACTTAGAAGTAACTTTATGTAATTGGTAAACAAAATATGAATATTAACCCTGATTACAATTTTTTAAAAGGAAAGGCAGCTAAAAATACTCTTTTTATATAAGGAACATGTTTTGAATCAATTTTAAGAATCTTGTCTCCTTTTTCTTGTATTTTCATTGTCTAGCCCTGAAATTACTAATATCTGTGCTAATGCTACTGAGTGACATGATCCAATCATAATTTTAGTATATAGCATTATTAACATATACAAATAAAGATAGCATTAGTAAGCTAAAGTCTCCTCTTAGAGCATTATGGATTTGTGATGAAATGGTAGACTTCATAATAACCTGCGATTTACTGAATTTTACTAATAGAATTCTATTCCATTCCACATATAGGTTTTTCATGTCTTTATAAGTTATCTATTTTTGACTTATGATCTCTGTTTCCTCATTTTATTTTATTTTATTTTGAAGATTTATTTTATTTATGATTACAAGAACTGGGGTACAGGCCAGAGGTGGGGGGTGTGGGTGAGAGGATTCACCAGAGACAGAGCGGGGAACAGAACAGGCAGATAGACCAAAGTACACTGCTGAGGGGCGCAGCGGGCGAGTCAGGAGAGGTCTGCTGTGTCATGTGGGTTTCTCCCTGGTCGGGGATTGAACTTGCACTGCAGTGGCTGTGGACAGCTTCACGGCGCTGCGCTCAACCCCCTGTGTCACCAGGGAGGCCCTCAGTTTCTTCATTTTAATAGTTCAGGATATTTGGTTTTTCCTGTTGGGGTGGATAACCTTCATTTACCCCTACAATGACTGTCCTCTTTCTTTCTTAAAATTAAAAATAAAATAATAAAACACAGTCTAGACACACAGAAATCCCCTCTGCATTTTCCCTTGTGGTGATTTGAACCTGAGGAGGAGGACCCAGACCACCAATCCTGCAGGACACCTAAGGGTCCGTTTTGTATTCAGAATTGGACGCCTCATTCCTTTTTAGCCCTTTGGCTTGCACCTTTTTAGTCTGGCCACCTTTGACTAAAGTCGCCTCCAATTTGAGGTCCAGAACACCAAGTAGTTCATTATCTGCTCTGTTTGGTGTAATTCCTAATCTCTTTCCTATGCTTCAGAGTTTAGCTTTACTTTCCATTATCTGTCTAAAATGATGGCATCTAGCTCTGAATTTTTTATTTGATCCCCTTTCTATCTCCTCTCTTAAATTAACCACTCTTAATATTTTCCCAGCCTCCCCAGTAAAACAGCGCCACAACAAGGGGAGGGGAAGGGAGGGAGTACAGAATACTGAGAATGGCAAAGCTCCAGAAGAAAGAGCCACATGTGTATTATATTGTTAAATACTTTTTAGACAAAGTAAGTTTTCTAGTTAATGGATATGACATATACATATAATAAAGTTATATTGTTTTCCAATAATTTAATATTTAAACCTTACTTTAAAATTTGTTATTTTATGTGTATTAGCTCATCTGATGCATTCTAGTACTTACGAAGCAGATACCCTTTTGTTCTCATTTCACAGAGAAAACTGAAATGAAGGAAACTACATGAGGCTGTTAAATAAAGTTAATAAAAGTCTGTTAAATAACAGTTAATAAAAGTCAAGATTGGCACTGAATGATAAAGAAGAAAATAAAAATCACCCACAGTTCATTTTGTTACCCAGATATAGCCACTATTGACATTTTAGTGCATTTTCTTTCTATTGCTTTTTAAAATACATAAATGTGTGTTTAAATAAACATATTTAAATTTATGCCATATATATACTTCTGTATTCTTTTTAAGGCTTTTTAAGGTTATCAATATATAGTAATGTCACCTAAAATTCTTTGTAAGCTGTCACTTAAAATCCATTGCACGACTATAAAGTTTATTAGGCTATCCTATTATGGAACATTTTCAAAGTACTTTTTTCAGATTTTTAGCAATTAAAAATAACATCATGATGGATGTCTTCACATGTGAATATTTTCCATTTATCTAGCTATTGCATTTTAATAGATATCTGAGGTTTTTATAACATAGGGTGGTATCCTCACCCACTGGCATTTCTCATGATAAATGGTTTTCATTAGTAACACTGGCCAACATTCAGGGGATATTCTGCAAGCCATCAAATAAGGAACAGTCTGACTTGCAAAGGGAATAAATTTATGACCCTAGCCTCATCAACTTTTGTGTGCTCACACAGTGTCAGACAAAGCAGCCTTAGAATTAAGAAAGGAGAAAAATAAAAATATAGCGTTTAAATAGTAGAAGTATTAGAAGTGGAAAAGAGGCATATCTGTGTTGGGAGAAATTACAGAAGTGAGAAGCATCTGGCCAATTAGCAATACTAATTGTGTTTTGTATAAAATTCTCATATCTGTTTGGTCCAGGTGTTTTTAAATAGAATTAATACATTTATTTTGCAGTATATGATAAAAGCCCATCATAATAAAGATAGTATATCTGTGAGATAATCATATTAGGTCATTTCATTAAAATTTCTAAGTTTATAATGCCTAATTAGGTTGGATAGTAGTGAAAGAGGAATGAACAGGTTGGATATTGCAGAAAATGATAATGACTAATATTTATTGAGCTTTATTTTTCAGGCACTATTTTAAGTTTCCAAGTAGTGTGGAAATTGAGACTAAGTGAATTGCCCAAATTTAGGTGGGCAGACTCCAGAATCCATTTGCTTGACTTTTGTATTTTGAGAGAATGTACAGATATAGGCAAGGGAGTGGAGAAGCGGCTCCCAACCTTAGTGGTATTTGGTGGGTAGGTGATCTGCTTGTTTTGCTGTATCTCAAGTACCTAGAATGAATATTCAATCAATGAATAGCATTTCCATCTCAATCTTAATTAAGATGTATTCAATTCAACAGACACCTATTAACTACCTAATCTGAGCTGGGCTCTGGGAAGACAATGATAAGTAAGACAAAAACCCGAACTCAGAAAGCTCATAGTCTAAAAGGAAATGGGACATGAAAAATATGATGGTATTATAGTGTGTTGTGATAAAGAAGGACATGTAATACAGCAAAAAAGAGAGGAGGAGACATGTGAACTAGGATTAATAAAGATGGCCAGGGAGGCAACGTGAAAAGGCCTGCTGGCAAAGCCTCTAGCTATGGAAGTTGGAGTACTACCTGTTATTTTTTGTTTTTTAATTTAGAAAGAGTACAGTGATGTATTAAGGGTTAGCCATACTCAGGTTATTTCAGGCAAATTGCTTAATCTCTTTGAGCTTTGAATTATAAATCTAGAAAAGTAGAAAAAATATGCTTATCTCAAGGTGAAGGTAAAAAAGATACATGTAAATTCTTAATACAGAGCCTGTCCTGTGGATGCCAGCAAATAGTAAGTTTTAACACCCTGGTTATATAACTAAAACAATGTGAAATGAAAAGCACATTAGAACAAAGACTTTCTTACCTACCGGGTGGGAGTAGAAAGAAGTCTGGCAAAGTCTACCCAAGAAGTGAGGAATAATAAGAATAAAGAATTATCCTGGAGTTCAAATTCCATTTATGACTGCTAAACTGTGGCTGCTAAGAATGAAAGGTCTTAAAAAGACTCAAGAGGATTCTTGGGACAACAAATGACTGTTACAACTGAATATTTTGATGTGTTAAGTGTAAATTGCTTGGAAGATATGGATCAAATTTCCTCTCAGCAATGCATGGGTTTAAATATTATGGGGAAAGACACGTGAGAACAGGGCTCTATTAGGTTAGGAACTCTCTGATGTTTGCCCCAGGAGGGTTTTAGGTAGACTCATACAGAAAAGACTAAGAAATGCTCCCTGGAGAAGGTAGGGAGGAGAAAGAACAGAGGAAAGGTATCCTTATTCTCAGCCCCAGCTCTGGGGAAGTTCAAATTATTACAAATCAATGTAACCTCGACTCGAAAGGTTTTAAAAACATTTTAAGTCCTATGAGGGATTAAGTTATGGTCATCAGTCCAGAAAATGGTAAATCATCTTTTCTTCATGTGAATGATAAAATTCAGAACTTTTCCTGTTCAAGGAGATAATAACCTGTAAAACCTAACTTCTTTTGCAGCAAAAATTGATTAAAAAATATAGTTGTGTTCTCTAGTCATAGTATAGACTTTGAGTGTAAAGTAGGAGCAATAACCTGCCTAACAGTCCCCAGTGAGTTTGTGACAGGATGGAGAACAGACACCAGGTCTTCTAAGGAATTCTACATTCAAATAAATTACTTGGCTTGGTCAAGGCTACACCCTAAGTGAAGGGGGCACTTATGGGATTTCAGCCAATGTCTGCTCAAAGACCACACACTTTCTACAACTCCACACTGCCACTTTAAAATTAATTGGGCATTCATATTACAAAAGTAGCATAGGTTCATGTTAAATTATGGCAGTATAGAAGGATATTAAATGAAAGCTAAGCGTTCCCTTCCCTCTCAACAATGCTATTCTTTCCCCAACCTCACCCCCCCACCCCAGTAGAAGACCTCTATTCCTATTCCCTAGAGGTAAATATTGTGAATATTTTGGGATATTTACTTTCAGAATTTGAGTTCATATGTGTGTGTGTGTGTGTGTGTTTAAAATGTTCTATTTGGAAAAAAGCTCAAACACAAAAAGTTTCAAGAATTATAGAAATTCTAGAATTTTACCCAGATTTTGATATTTTGTTCTATTTGCCTTATCATTTTTTTCTCTATAGCTGTTCATCCATCCATCCACCCATATTTTGAAATAATTGAGAATAAATTGCAAGTATTTTGGCTCTGAATTTCTTCATCCATTCAGACTGCTAAACAGAATACCACAACTGGATGGCTTATAATCAACAGAAATTATTTTTTCTCAATTCTGGGAAACCGAGAAGTCCAAGATCAAAGCAACAGAAGATTCTGTGTTTGGTGAAAGCCTACTCCCTAGTTTATAGATGTTTGTCCTCTGCCTGTGTCCTCCTGTGGTGGGGTAAGGGAGCTTTCTGGGATCTCTTTTATAAGGCACTAATCTTATTGATGATAACTCCACCCTTATGACCTCATCACCTACTCCCAACTCCAAGTCATTATATTGGGCATAAGGATTTAATATATGAATTGGGGGGTGGGGAGGCATAATTATTCACTCTTTAGAACCCCTAAATATTTTAGTGTGTATTTCAAAAGGCAGGGACATTCCTAAGCACAATACAGTTATCAACTTCAATAAAACTTCAGTAATTTTATCACTGATACCATACTTTTGTAAGATTTATCCAACAATGAGCTTTATAGTTTTATTTTCCCACTTCAGCACCAATTCTAGTTTAGAATTGTTTTTCAATTAGTTGCTACATCATATCAGTCCCTGTGAATCTGGAACAATTCTTCAATTGTTCTTTACTATTTATAACATTGACATTTTTTGAAGAATTTAATAGAATAACACTCATTTTGAGTTTTGTGATGGTTCTTCATGATTAGCTACTCGCTATGTACTCTTGGATGAGGCACACATGTTCATATATGCCTCATTGTGGTGCTAATTTTCAACACCCAGGCAAGGAGTTGTTCATAGATGTCTCTTTTATTCATGATCTTTCTCAATATGATTTTTTACTGAATAACATAGTTATTTCACTGCAGCAATATTTATGAGTACATATGAGTCAAACACTATTCGAGACCACAGTGATATGTCAAAAATATAAACAAAGGGCCTCCCTGGTGGTGCAAGGGATTAAGAAGCAACCTATGAAGCTATCCGCAGCTTCTGTGGTATGAGTTCGATCCCCCGGCCAGCCAGGGAGCAACCCACATGGCACAGCAGATCTCTCCTGTCTCGTCCGCTTCTCCCCTCAGCAGTGTACTTTGGTCAATCTGCCTGTTCTGTTCCCCACTCTGTCTCTGGTGAATCCTATTACCCCCTACACCTCTGGCCTGTACTCCATCTCTTGTATGCATAAATAAATCTTTAAAAATATATATAAACAAAAATACCTGCTCTCATAGATCTTATATTCTATCTTGGAAATATGTGTTGCATTTTCATATATAGAGTGATTCCAGTTTTCATAAAACTGGATACTAGTATTTTATTTCTTTGTATTTATGTGCCTTAGAGTTACTCAGCCATTATGATGGCTGTCTGATGACATTTTGCTTATTTCCACTGTTTTTTGCTAACATTAACCATGCCTCAGTAAGACCTTGAAATGTACTATATAGTATATTCATCTAGATGCATGTGTGTATATCTGTGCCCTTGTTTGTTTGTTGTGTATTTGTATATATGTATGAATGTGTGTGAGTGTGTGTATATGTGTAGAATTAAGAGAAATTGATGGATCAAACAAATTTGGTTTTCATATTTTGATAGATGCTACCATTTTCCTTTAATTTTTGTTCTTATATTGTATTTTGTTCTCAGTGAGTACCTGTATCTCCCCATTCTCATCAAATTGAATTTTATCAAATGTTTTTGTCTTTTCCATTACAACAGACCCTATTTTGATTGGTTGGTAATGAAGAGTTCAATATTTTACAAGTTTGGAAACAGAGTGCCTGTTTGTGCTTGATTGTTGAAGACCTACTGGTTTCATTCTCCAAGAGACACATGTCTGGTGACAGAGAGAATGATAACAAGGCGGCTACTGGTATCTTTAAAAAAAATGCTTCTTTTTCTTACTTCCTGTTTTATTGAAAGATATTTGACAAATAAAAGTTGTTTGTATTTAAGATGGAGAACACGATGTTTTGATATGTATACATAATGATTACCACAATCAAACTAATTAGCATATCCATCACCTCATATAGTTATCATTTTTATGAGAATAATTAAGAACTCTCTTAGCAGATTTCAAGTATATAATACAATATTAACTATTGTCATCTAAATAATACCAACTAATGTTATGTTTTATATTTGATCTTTAGAACTTCTTCATCCTGTGTATCTGAAACTCTGTACCCTTGACCAACATTTCCCCAATGCCTCTGCTCCAAACCCTGGTAACCACTTTTCTACGTTGCTTTTAAGAGTTAGACCTTTTTTTCAGGTTCCACATATAAGTCAGATCATGTAACATGTGTCCTCTGTATGCATTTCACTTATAGTAATGTCCCCCGGGTTCCTCTGCATTGTTGCAAATGGCAAGATTTCCTCTTATTTTAAAACTGAATAATATTCCAGTATGTATATACGTACCACATTTTCTTTATCCATTCATCTGTCAATACGCACTTAGATATTTCCATATTTTGGGGAGTGTGAAAAATGCTGCAATGAATGTGGGATTGCAGATAGCTCTTTGAGATACTAATTTCATCTTTTTTTTTTGCTATATGCACAGAAATGAAATTGTGGTAGTTCTATTTTTAATTTTTTTTGGAAACCACCATAGTGTTTTCCACAGTGGCTGCACCATTTGCTTTTACCACTAGCAGTGCACAGGTCTTCAAATTTCTCCATAACCTCACTAACACTTGTTATGTTTTTCTTTTTTAATAATAGCCTTCCTAATAGGTATGAGGAAGTAAATATCTCACTATGATTTTGATTTACCATTTCCTCATGATTACAGATGTTGAATACCTTTTCATATATCTGTTTGTTTTGAGAAATGTCTGTTCATGTCCTTTGCCCATTTTAAAACTGAGTTATGTTTTTCTTGCTATTGGGTTATTTAGTTCCTTAAATATTCTGGATATTAATGCTTTATCAGATGGTTTGCAGTAGTTTCCCTTTTCTTCATTGGTTGTCTCTTTACTCTGTTAACTGTTTACTTTTCTATGCAGTCTTTTTATTTTAATACAGTCCTATTTTAATTTTTGCTTTAGTTGCCTGTACTTTTGGGTTCAAGTTAAAAAAAAAAAATCTTTGTCCAGACCAATACCAAAAGCATTTCTCCTATTTTTTTTCTGGTGGTTCTACAGTTTCAGGTCTTATTTTCAGGTCCTTAATGCATTTGAATCCATTTTTTGTCATTGTATATCATGTGAGATAAGGGTCCAATTTTATTCTTCTGCATGGCATGTGGATATCCTGTAATCTCAATATTATTTACTAAAAACGCTATCTTCTTTCCCTTTTGTGTGTTCTTTGCCACTTGTGACTAGAATTATGTATTATTTCCAGACTTTCTCTTCTGTTTCATTGGTATCTATATATCTGTTTTTATGCCAGTATCATATTGCTTTGATTACTATAGCTTTGTTGTACATTTTGAAATCAGACAGAGCAATGCCTCCAAATATGTTCTTGCTCAAGATTATTTTGGCTACTCAGGGTTATTTGTTGATCCACGTAAGTTTTAGAATTGCTTTTTTTTTTCTATTTCTGTGAAAAAAGAAAACATTGGAATTTTGATAAAGATTATATTGAATCTGTAGATTGCCGTGGGTAATATGACATTTTAGTGCCTAATTCACAATTGAAGTTTATTATGGAAAGATAGTTTTAAAATTTAAATTCCATATTTGGCCACATTGCAGTGAGCTAGGAACACTATCTAGAGCTAGGAGATATTAGTAGTAAGTTAATGAGATAGTATAATCACAGATAAGTAACAGGAAAGAATGCACTGTTAGATACATCTCTTTTATGCTATTTGCTATGAATAATGGGCTAAATAGAGCTGCTAAAATTGCGAGGTTATCACTCAAATATTTCTGAAACATATAGTAACCATATAGTAAACTATAGAGGTATTTAAAATGTTTAGTTAGATGATCTGATTGAGCTCTCTTTGTGGTTTTTACCTTATTGATATGGAGTGTTTGAGTGCTATCGTACTGCCTTGGGAGAAAATTTTAGATTAAATAGTTTATTTGTTGAAGAAATCATTAATTTTTTTCTGTACTCCTTATCCCTTCATTCCTCCCTCCTCCCTTTTTCCTTATATCCTCTCTCCTCCATTCATCCTCTGAAAAGGAGGTGTGGCTATTTTGAAAAGGAAGCTTCTTTCTTACATGCAATGAATTTTTCCCACTATGGGCTAATTGCCAAAGCATTTGGCCACCTGTGGGAGTAATTAGTTACTTGTCTATCGTTTTGAGGTTAGTCAATTGCAGTTGCAATTTATTATACACAGAGATTTGTTTCCACAAATAACCATGGCTGCTGAAGCCACCCAAAGAGAAAGAAAGGTTGGGCAGAAACATAAAAAAGTTGGCATATTGCTTCACATATATGGATGAAGCTTGGGTAACATTTAGCTCTATTCATTTTTATCCCAATCCAGAGGAACTGGAGTTAGGGGTACTGAAGAAAAACTATTCCAAAGTTATACCACTGTGAGGAGTATGGAGATAAGATCCTGTTACCTTAATAATTTACTTGATAATGGAAAAAATTATTCTTAATTGTGCTATCAGTCTTCCATACTACAGATGTATATACTCTAAAATGAATCATTTCTATATTAAGGTTATTATAACAAAAACTCTGTTATCATGAGTGAGTGACAATGAGGTAGCAACTCTCTTGGGTCCCCATTCTGTGGTTAATGTAGTGTGTTGTGTATATGAGTACATCATGAGAAGTATTCTCTACTCTACTAATTAAATTCAACATTTTTTTAATCAATAACTGCTATCATCACTCATGATGCTAGGAAGTCAGAGTTTGTAACAAGATGAGCAAAAGGTAATTCAGGTAATTAATTACCTGAATTAATTCAGGTAATTAATTACCTGTGTGTGTGTGTGCACGCGTGCCTGTGCACACTTGTGTATATGAGGTTGGGGGGATGGGGGGGAAGGTAAACACTCACATAGAAATATCAGAATTCTCTTGGGTATCAGAGAAACAATCTTACCCAAGTTGACTTAAACAACAAAGCATATTTATTAGCAATTGAGTTGAAAAATTAAAAAAAATATAGTGGGGTATAAATGTGAGACTATTTCTAGTAGCTCAACACTGTTCCCAAGGACCCTATTTCTTTAAGGTTCTCTGATCTACTTTCCATAGGACCCACTTTATCATGAGGCTAGTTCTACCATGGTTCTCACAGAGAAGAACCAAATTCCCAGAAGTGCTCTGCAGATATCTCTTAAAGTGTCATTAGCCCAGACTGAGCCACATGTTCATGCCAAAGGAATCACTGGAACTAAGGGGATGGAGTGGATTAATTGGCTTAAAGGTCCAAAACATGCTGTAGAGGCAACACAACCTAAACAGGGTAGTTAGAAAATCTGAGATCTGGGTAGGAAGGGTGAGAGGAAGTGATAGATGCTAACAACTACTCACCATATCAATTCAAGCGCTGCAATAAAGCAGAGGAAGAGTATGTGTGTAGTGGCTGGGTGTGGGCTGGATGCTATTACTGCGGCAGTTATAGGTGTCACCAATGTTCATGTTCATCTTCCTGAGATGCTAAAGAACAGGAACATATTAGAAGGGTTTTGTGGCTTACATTTCACTCGGAAGTTTGTGACCACCTACTTTATCGGTTAGCTTCTGAAGGTCTACTTTTTTTTTTCAGAATATGACTCTTGCTTTATTAAGAGAAATAACTCTGCTCTTCAGTGGGAAGTCTGAGGTCACAAAATATATTTGAGTGTATACACAGTTGATCCTCATTATTTGCAATACTTGTGGTGCTTTCACGGGCATTTGCAGACATGTGCAGAGTGGTAAAAAAAAAATGAGTCCTCTGAAGTGCACATTCTCAGCTAAGGTAGAAAAAGAAGATGTTCTGTCCTCCTGTTTCAGTTCTCATACTGTAAACAAGTGTTCCTTTCATGGTCTATGTAGTGCCATGTTTTCCACATTTTTGTGTACTTTTTTGTTGGCAATTTCACTATTTAAAATGGCCCATCAGCATAATGCTGAAGGTTGCTAGTGTTTCTAAATGAAAGAAGACTGTGATGTGCCTTACGAGAAAATAAATGTGTTAGATAGGCATGGGGTATAGTGCTGTTGGTTGTGAGTTCAATGTTAATAAATCAGCAATATGTATTATGTGATTTTAAACAGAAACACACATAAAATAAGGTTTTGTATTGATTGGTTGATGACAAGGTTGTGACCAGGGGCTCATAGGAACTTAACCTTGTATTTCCCCTCAGGAACAATGGGTTCAGCTTTTGCTAATTCAGTGTTCACAGTGCCTTCATAGAACATAACTATGGCAAATAATGAGAACTGATGGTATATAGATAACTGCCTTTAGCCAAGTGAGGAAAATATTCTTTTGGCCCAATATAAAGGCAGGGGTTTAACCACAGGTTCTAGCATAGAAAGGGATAAACAATTTGTTTTTATTACTGTTAGGTGAAGGAAAAGAGTTCAAAGCTTCTAAGTAGTCCCTTTGAGGGAACAGATTTAATCTATCTGAAAGCAAAATTTCTCTACATCTGGACCTTTCCAACTATGTCCTCTCGAGCTTTTCTGAAATGATATGCCATGACCTCATAGGTTTCAACTGAATATCGCAAGCTAAACAGCATCCACCTCAGAGGATATAATGCAAAATAACACGTGATGAAATCCACAGTCTTGTCACAGATCACATTTGTTATCTTTCTCTCTCTACTGCCCCCAAACCAAATGCAAAAAACCTTGAGCTGAGATGAAGTAGCATCCATTGAGACCCACGAACTAAGTCATGATGGGTAGTGTGTGGAGGTGTCTTCATCGAGGACTCTGTCAAATCATTCCATTTGACTTTTGTTTCCCTCAAGCTTGGGGCTCTGTTGCCAGCAGCAAGTATGCTGACTGAAAACTGTCACAACAGCGATCATTACAATCCGGGAGTTGAGTTTGACTGGAACATATGTCTTCAATTTTAATAGCTCAGCTTCCCAGATGCCCTAAAGGAGAATATTGCCTGAGAAGGAGCTTTTCATGTAAGAATAATTTGTGTTAAGTAGCTCAGTGATCTGTTTGTTAGGTTAGAGCTGACAGTTTGTTTATATTTCTAAAGGGGTATGATGAATGGGGGAGAAGTTGATGCTAATTAGCCTAAATTGTTCCGAAGAATGTAGAGGGCTTTGCCAGTTCCATTGTTTCTGTTTCTTTGCACATTTTAAATAATTGAATGGAGCTCAGACCATTCATCATAATTTCAGGCAAGATGGAAATAAATGGATTTAGCACGGGTCCACATGTATGATGGAAGATGTCACTTTAAAGAGCAATTAGATAAGACATCAACTTGGGGCTAATGTGGACTATTCTAACCCATTTGCATAAAAATATCAAACATGAAAGTTTTCATTTACTCCATTAATTATCTCTGTCATCATAGGATACAGCCCTTATTTGTGAAAACCCACCTCTCTCCATTAAAAAGTAGTGCTGGGCTATAAAATTTAGGCCCTTAGCTTCCAGACAAAAGATTTGTGGCAGTACTTTCTAAGAAAGTTCCCTCCCACCCATGTCATCAAATTCCACTAAGAAAACTGAGGATGAGCTTCAGTGCTTCCACAGTCGATAAAGGCTACAGAGAAACATTTTTGAAAGTTTGGAATCTTAAGGTTGTTAATTCCACAGTAAGAGCTAATGCACCAGTGGGACACATTTTAGTAATTTCTCAAGAGTTCTGATGTATTTATTTCTTATATATGCTGACTTACATGATGATATGATGTGAAACCTACGATGTGACTTCCTATCTGAGTCGATCCAGTATTTCCTCTAGGTAATAAGGTTAGCATGAATGGATTATTTTATAAGAGTGTAGGAAAATATATGTTTTGTTAACACACATATTTTGAGAGTTAAAATAAGAAAAATGAAACTAAATTTAGAAAGGCTATGATTTTTTTCAGCCTTTTAATCCTCATTGGAGGCCATTCTTTTTTAATTTATGCACATAAAATACCACAGGAAGAGATGGTATAAATTTGTGGACTGTGGAGAATGAGTGAACATTTTTGAATCAGGATCTTTAAAAGGGGTGAAATTTGAGTATGATTAAGTTAGGAAAAAGCCTCGCTTACGGCGGAAGTCGGAGACTCTGTATACATTATGGGCATGTCATGGCTTTTAAAAAGTTATGTTAGACTTCTATACAAATTGTGAAGGAATTTGTCTAACCCCAAACAAAATTTTGTGTGGTTCTGAACTTTTCCAAAGTTGAAAAAGAGAAAGAAATAATGCTGGTTAGTATTCCTAGCAGGAACAAGCCTGACTGTCGGGTGGGCTGTCACTTGCACTGCCTGGGTGTTTTCTTGGTCACTAGCTTTCTCGGAAGGAAATGATTCTATGGCTTATGCTAGCCATGTTGGTGCAGATATGCCCTCTAATTGGCATTTATTAAAGAGACCTTCAGTTTGATGGATGACTGTCAGAGTCGAGCCTGCTGGCTTTGAAGAAAGTTGACTTTGCTCGAATCTTGCTACATTAACTCATTAGAACTCTGCACTGCTTCAACTCGCTCTTTGTTTACTTTCTTATAATTAAGATTTTGAACAATCGATTTCAGAGACTTGGCAGAGGCCCATTTCCAACTTGGAGACCTGGCCTGACAGAAAAGTATGCAACAGAACAAATATTCAAAATAAGAACCTGTGAGTATTAAAGCTAAGGGTTTTGTACTTTCCTTAGTTATCTACCCAATTAATTATTTTTCAACATAAAATGGCTTTTTAATAATCTTTGTATCATTGGCTTGTGTTTTATTCCTCAATTTTAAAAATTGTGAATCCGAAAAAAAAAGCGGTTAAATAAATATTTTAAAATCATGGTATTTAAAAGTAGAGCTTGTGTGTATTGTGATATGTTAGCATCCATGTAAGCATATCATTAGGAGAATTAGGAAAATGAAAGGCCATCTGAATCTAAATCTACATTTTCAAATGAAAAAAATCATTATTTATGCATTTAAATACGTGATCGTGAATTACCAATGAATCGTTATTGTGTTTTTAATAAAATATGAAAATCCTGAAAACCTTGGTGACACATTTAAAATTTGAAGTTATATTTCACTTTCTCTTTGAAACACCAAAGAAAAAAAGACGCGGAATTGCTGAAAATGAGGCTCTTTTCCAATATTCTTTGGGTGAGATGAACCATATTTCCTGTTAGGTGTGCTGTACTTTCTTACTCCCTGGAGAGGCTCAAAATGGTGATATCTTTGATCTGTGTGGCTTTTGAAATATTTTTGGTTGGTATCTATAAAAACTATACATTTGAGAAGAAAGGATACATTTTCACAGAGAGAAAACATGGAGAGTTTTTGCACTAAAATTACACATTCAGTCATGGTTGTCTCTTTTCTGACTTATGATGAGTTGATGAGTTGATTATCTGAGGTCTATTTACCAATGATGATAGTTTTGAGTATATACATTCATCACCTTGACCCTGTATCTAGATGAGTGGGAAAGGAAAATAAAGAATGAATAAGGAAAAGTAAACAGCACATATTTATGAAAATGAATATTGTGCTGCATCATAATTTATAGGCACTGCTCTAAGTAATGCGTTCTTAAAGTAATTTTATGGGGAGTGCTACTGTGGAGTGGTACTAGGTCACTTGATTAGGATTCACAAAGGGAAAGGGAAAATGAAACTCAGTTGTTTTCAGGTCACAGATAATTCCACTTTTCTTACTCTCTAAAAGGAACTTGAGTTAGCATAACAATATTTAGACTTTGCCAGTAAAGACAACCTTTTAAGTTTAGTGATGAAGCCGATTCCTTCTATTTTATTCAGATGATGGAAAATACAACTAATTGGCTCCTTATTTGATCCACAATGCTCAGTTAATGTATTCAGAGTTATTACTAGATTAAAAAAAATGAATTCACAGGTCAAAACTTCTTTTATTGTGGAGGAAACTGGCAGTCATCAAAAGGGCCATTAAAAAACAGTTTAATGAAGAAATATGTGACTGTTTAAGAAAAGCGTCTAGTCTAAACTTAGCAGGAGGGCCATGGATTCTTTTTTTTCTACTAGGCTACAATAGTACAAGAAAATAACCTTGCCCCTTTTCATCTTCTGCATAAATTTTCACTTCAGAAAGTCCTTAATTTAGCTACCTGTATAAAATGTAATTTAATATGGAGACCTGAAGCTAGTGTGGTGTCCTTCTACTATTTTACATTAAAATGTGTGATATCGCCTCTTTTTTCATTGATATATGAGTGATAACTAAGACTTTAATTATTTTAATGGTTTTTTCCTTAATTGAGTATTACTGGTTTACAACACAGTATAAGATACAAAGGCATAAATGCACATCTCTTCACATGTATGTTACCACATCACACAAAGGCACTCATAACCCTCCATCACAATCCATTGGGTACCCTCCCCTCTTTGCTTTGTACCCCCATTCTGCCCCTCTGGTAGTCTCAATTGTGTAGTCCAATTTCTAGGGTTTGTTTTGTTTTTGTTTTGTCTGTTCCTTTTTTTATTTGTTTCTCTATATCCCACATGAGTGAAATCATTATTTGTAGGACTTTAAATTTTAAATGCCCTTTTCTTTTCACCTAAAAACAATAGCTAGCACTTATTGGTTGTAATCTGTGTTACAGCATGGTTCTCAATACTTCACATAGATTAGCTTATTTAATCATCACATTGCTTGAGGTGGGTATTACTATCCTCACTTTAAAGATTATATAAAACTGAGGTAGAGAGAGGATAAGTGACTTGTCCAAGGTCACACAACTAGCAGATGGAAGATTGGGGGTTTGAATATAGACTTTGATTCCAGATTCAAGGATCTTAATTATTCTGTAATGCAGGCTTAACATTGTTTAAGTAGTTGAGGATCTACCCACAAATATCTAAATCAACCAACTTCATTATTCAAGAGATTGCAGAGTATTTCAGTATGTGTAGAGGTTTTCTGTAGAAGGAATGTTATGTTATTTGTCAAAGATAGTAATGTCCTTTCTTTTTAACTTTCATAATCCTGCACATGACTAACAAATGGTGTAGCTTAATAGAGTGATCAATTTTATACTGTGTGGTTGTCACATTGGAGAGGAACAGGATTTACCTGGCTACTCAGGTGTAATAGTGAACCTCATTAAAACAGAGTTCTGCTTTGTTTTAAAAGTTCAAATAGTGTTTTGAAAAGGAGCTAAAGCAATACAGATAAAAAAAATTCTAGGCTACATGAAGTAATTTCTATAAAAATTGGTCACTTTTTTAGAGGTAAATGTTTTAAAATCTATTTTAAAAGTCCAGCAATATTTAGGTTCACCAATATTTAGGTTCATTACTCTAGATCACTAGTCTAATGAATTCTAAGATAATCTAAGCTGATTAATCTTAAATTTTAAGAAGATATTGTGAATTGAAATACAGCTTATAGACCTCACTGGAGATAATGCAGTTATAAAATGCTTTACATATTTAAAAAAATTCAAACTTTTGGACAGAGGATTTTGATTGTCCAGACACTTTTGAAGTATCTAACAGAATATGGTGTTCATATAGGAGATACTCTGATTAGAAGAAGGATGAAAATCAATGTTTTCATCTCAAAATAAAAAAAAGCAGAAATTTTGCACAAAGATAAAATCATCATTATTCTTTATGTGAAGAAATGTAAGCAATAGATTTAATTTTTAGCATTTATTCACTAATAATTGATAGACTGTGTACCATGAATTAACTATACAGGCATGAGCAACACAGACAAGCTTTTAATCCTAGTGAAGGAGGCAAGAATGAACAAATAATATAGTATCATAAAAGTTACTAAGAAAGAAAAGTCAGTTAAGGAGGTAGAAAGTGGGAGCTAGAGGGGTATTTGAGCAAAAATCTAAAAATAGGGAACAACAGTAGCATTTCTGTATATTTAACACTTAAGCTAATAGTGCTGTCCCAGGAGAATTAGGATGCACAGAGTTGTGTTTTAACTACTTATAGAATCCAGAACAAAAAGACAACTGTGATGATGGCTAAAATTTCTTAAATGCAATTGAGCAATAATCTGATCTGACGCCATGAATAACTTATGAATTGGGAGACTGAATAGTATATATAGACTAGTGGCTGAGGACAGTGCTTATCAAACTTTAGCATGCATAAGAATCATGTGGTGAGCTTGTCGAAACACATGGCTGGACCCCGCTGCCTGAAATTAGGATTAATAGGTTCTGTATTTCTAACAAGCTCTAATACCTCCAGTCCATGGAGGACCAGAGTTTGAGTAGCACTGATTTAGATTTTAGAGAACAGGCTTTAGAGTCAGACAGACTTGGTTTGAATTTCAGTTTTCTGGGTGGCCTTGCACAAGTTAAATATTCTTTCCACAGCTCTTCTCTTCATCTGGTAAAATAGGGATTATAATAATCCTTGCATTATATAAGTGTTGTGAAGAGTAAATTGGATAAAACACTTGGCATTGTGTTTGGCATTATTGTAAACCCTTAGCATGTGTTGTTGTTATAGTTAGGAAGAAGAAGAATCATGGTGGATAATAAGCATTAGATAAAACTATAAACATGTTTCAGATAATACATTGTAAATCAATTAGCTGTAACTTCATACCCTTGAACAATGTCTCAGTGCCTGGCACACAGCAATACTTGTTGACTGAATAAATGAATTGTGAATTCACTTAATAGTATGTGTGGACTGGAAGAATTGACTTCCATTCTAATATCTCTTTTACTTCTCTGCTTAAGTTCAACATAAACCAGAGCGTAAAAAAACCCTACCTCCCAGCTATGAATCATTTGTTGTATTAAGCCAGGTAGGATAGATTAAACTTTAATAGTATGAGACCATTACATGGAGAATTTCCTTGTATTTGGGTCTGTAATGAGCTGTAGACTTAATATATTCAAGTAAAGACAGAATAGTTGTAGACTGACCTATTTTAAAAATTAGTGTTATTTATGTTATGCTATTGAGATATATCTATGTTATACAGAAAGTTACAAAATGCCCTTATTCATTAATATGGAAGAAATACTGAAAAATCCTAGTTTCTATAAGAAAAAATACTAGTCTAAACTACTGGGAAGAGGGGTCTGTAGAATGGGATCTGCTCATGTCATATTTGAATGGTTCCTTCTTTGTCCAGTGAATATGAGATTCATATATGGTAAAGCAGGTACTTGAGTGTGCCTGGGGAAAGGAAGAAGAAAAGAAACTGATTTTTAAAAAAAAATATCTACTATATGCTAGGTGCTTTACCATGTATGAGATTTGTAGGTCCTAATTCAGTGCTCACAGTCATAATTTTAGATGGATAGCATCATTCGCTTTGCAATTCTGAGGGCTAAATCTTTAGGGAGACTAAGGGAGGAAAAAAGTGAAACTAAGTCCCTTGCCCAGGTCTCCATGTGAAGCCCATTCTCTTTTGTACTATTACTTTTGGACAGGGCACTTCTATAGAAAGTCATATGGTTTCCCAGAAAGTGATGTGTGGATTGGAGACAGACAGTGAGAGTAGTTTGTCCAGCTGAATGCATGACTGGTTCTAGGGACTGAAAGATGCTCAGTGAAGCTGGGAGAGGAGTGAAACCTTGACAGTGGAGAAGCAGACATGGGTTAGATGGTAAGTCTTTTAAATTAAGGGTGTTTTAAGTTAGGATGTTTAAACTTGATTATAAGGATGATCAGAAA